GCTCAGGGATGGAGCCTGGAGGGGAGAGAGGTGGCTCAGCATTTTGGGGAGAGCCTGGGTTCTGTTCCCACACAATTCCTGGCCCTGAACTCTGCTCTGAGCTTCTGCAGCAGCTGCTGAGGTCCTGCAGGGGCAGGAGCCATGGTGAGGAGGAGCATGGTGTGTTCAGCATCCCCCATCCACTCCTCCTGAATCCTCTCCTACTATTACTCCACTGACTGTAAATATCTCGGAGACATTTACATGGTATTTCTTTTTAAGTATATAATGTTTTCATTCAAAAGTATCACAATTCTTAAAAGACCTGTCAGAGGCTCTGACATGTAATTAATTTCTCTAAAGCTCTTTTTTTGAAAGATACAACTGCATATATAGAACACCTGCACTTATTCACAATTCTGCAGGAAAAAAAGCCACAGCTTCTTCTTCTTCTCCTTCGCTTTCTTCCCCCACTTCTCCATAAAAAGATTCTCCTTCCCTTTGGATACTCCCTCTCCATCTGCCCTCCTGAGCTACAACACCCAGGATGTGGAAGCTGTGTGTAAATAGGAGCTGGCATGTTGGGTTTTGTCTGGGTGTGAGTGACCTTTTGTTTATTCAGCTTGAAGATTAAACACTCTTGCAACTTTAATTCCAGAGCAGCCATCACCAGCTCAGAATCTCATCCACCTCATAGAATTGCCCAGTGTGCAGCTGGACTTCCAGTCAGGCTCTTGGGCTGTTTCTTATTTTTACCTGGTAGATTTTTTTCCCCTCCTCTGCCTGGGCAGAGTATTGAGCTCTGTGGTGGTACCCAGGAAATATGAATGAGATGATGTTCAACCAGCAGTGGATAAATAATTGTATTTATAGATTATATAGAGATACAGATACAGAGATTTAAGTGGCCAAGCATTGGATTCTGTGGCAATCATGACCAACTTGTTTGCTTTATCCCCTGTAAGTGCATCCAGGGCATCACTGTGACCATCCCTGATTCTGCTGGGAAATGCCATGAGCCAAATCACTGCTGCTTCCCAAGAAGAGTCTGCAGGGAGTCCTCAGGGGGAGGAAACCTCTCCAGCAGGTCCCTTGGCACAGTTCCTCCTTGGGTTGGCATCTGGGGGTGTGTGGAGCTGGAGAGGCTGAGGGGGATGTCATCTCCCCATGGCACCCCTGGCAGGGTGAAGTGATGGACCTGTGCAAGGTGTAAACATTCACTCAGAAAAGCTGCACCAGCCCGGGGGGAAATGGGCATTTTCTGGCTGACAAAGAAGTAAAATAACTTGTTGCTCTCTTTGTAGAGGGCAGCCATTGAGCAGATGCATTTTTTAAATTTTTGGTTGTATAAAAGTTAGGCATTCCCCTTTTTGTCTTTGTAAAATCAGTGTTAACAGGAACATGCTTAAATCCTAAAGTTTGGATGGGCTTAAGTGAGCAGCAGGTCCATCATTTATGTGACTGGAGGTGAGTGAGGGATGGTGTCCAGGATTTTTAGCTTTGTCATTTGGGTGTTTCCTTCTCTGTTCAGGAGTTCCTTCCTACCCTGATCATTCTGGCATATTGTGACTCTAGGATAGAGGAAGAAATAATCTGGTTTTACTCCAAGGAGCTGGTGGAGGGACATTCCACCAGGGTCTTGCTCTGTGTTGGGAGCAGAGGGAGCTGGAGGGGCCTCAGCTGGGACATCATTTTCCAACCACTCCTCCAACACCAACACCCAGAGAACCTCTTGAGTGTCTCAGAAGGTTTTTTTAAAGGAGAACAAAAGCGTTTTTTGGGTTTCTTGGCCCCCTGGGCTGAGGAGGTTTGTGGCAGAGGCTCCTTTGTGTTGCTGTGTTTGTGTTCTCCCAGATGTGTGCACGTGGGCTGGCCACTAGCAGCTTCTGTATGGCCCTGTTAGCACTAGAAACAGGAAAATTGACAGGAATTGTGAGGAATGGGGAATTTCCTCAGCTGTCATGCTGAGGGTTTTTAGAGGCACTTGCAATCTTTCCCCTGACCTGAGCCATAGGGCTGAAAGGGTTTCTCCAGGTCACTGAGCCCTGTGGATTGCAACCACAGCTCTGCATCCTGTCCTTCTGCCCATTAATTTGTCCATCTTGTGCTTAAAACTAGTTGGATTATTGTTCAGCTCCACTGCTTGCTTCCTATTGCTCCTTCCCCTCCATCTCCAGTGACTTTCTGTGGTGCCAGCTGTGATCTTAGCAGGCTGATGCCCTGAAGTCCGTGGTGCAATCAGCAAAAGTGCTTCTGAATTCTTGCCTGTGAGTGAACGTGCTGTGCCTGTCCTTGAAGCACAGCCATTCCTGCTGTGCTCCCATCCTCCTCCTCCTCCAGAGGCCTGGAGTTCATCTGACCCCAGGCTTTGCCCTCTGCCTTCCTCCCACCGTCCTCTTCCTCCATCCACTCTGGCTCCATTCAAGTTCATAAACTTGGAGCTGGTGCCCCATTTTCTTCCTGCCAGCTCTTCATAATAGCATGACCCCATGTGAATGGCCTGACACCATCTGAAATCTGTATTCTGTCCCTTTTGTACCTCGGTCTGCAGATGACTCTTGTGTTCTCCTGCTACCCAGTGTATTCTCTGCACACCACCTTTGTCCCCCAGACCTCTCCAGGTTTAGTTTTTCTTGCCTGGGACCCAGCTGTTCTCCTCTTTGTTATCCCCAACCTTCTGTTCCTTCCTGTTCTGCATCACATCCAGCCCCTTTGTCAGCTTTTCTTTCCCAGTCGCTGCTGTTTCTCCCTGTCCCTTTTGGGGTCTCACCTTTCCTGGTCACACTGGTCCCAAAGGTCCCCTTGTTCAGCAGGTCTCAGCAAACCTGGATTGTCTGTCCCATTTGTTACTTCATCTCTGTCTGACCCTGTGGGAGGATCACCCATCTGGACCCCTCTGAGTTCCCAGCTGGTTTCTGGAGCTCAGCTCTGCTCTCTGGGTCACTGCAGTTGAGGGAAAGAGTTGTCCCCAAGCACATCCCCTTTGTTGTTGCATTTCATTGTCTTCTCCAGCCTTTGCATCTCATCCACCAGGAATATCCCTGCTGTGCTTCCCTCCCCCTTGTGCACACACATCCCAAAAAATCATAATACTACGAGATCAAAGGTCTGGAAACTCCCCCTTTGTGCCTGTTTGCTTGGCTGCTCACTGTGCTCACTGTTTGCCCCCCTGTCTGTTCCCTGCTCTCTCCACGAAGGTTGGCCCTTGAGTATCCATCACAATCAAGGAAAGATGAACTCCTTCCTCATGGATGGGGCTTGGAGCAACCTGGGGTAGTGGAAGGTGTCCCTGCCCGTGGCAGGGGATGGCACTGGGTGGGATTTAATGTCCCTTCCCACCCAAACCATGCTGTGACACCTCAGCCCCCTCCCCAGCAGCCACACTGGCCCTTGTGTGGAGCCAGTGGTGGCTCTCTGGTCTCCTGAGACCCCTCTGGTTCTCCCAAGGCTGACAATATTTTATTAATATTTTCATTAATAGATATTCTAAAAACTTAATTTATTAATACTTCGGTTAATTAAGGCACATTTAACAGGCAGGAGATATTATCAAGGAGGCACGAAGCTGTAGCCTGTCAGTGGCAGATGCAGAGCACCTTCCACACTCAGACATTAATCTCCTCCATGGAAAAATAACTCTGATCTCTGCTCTGGCTTTTGGAGTGTCTCCTGCTCCAACATGTCAGCACTGAAAGGGCACAGAGGGAGCTCAGGCTGTGGGGAGGGTGCTGGCAGGAGAGGGGTCTTACCACAGCAAACAGGCTGGCGTTGGAGAGCTTTGAGAGGGGGATTTGCATCAAAGGAAAACTCTCGGGGTTAGTTAAATATTCCTCTAAATATGCAAAGGAATGGAGTTACTGATGCTTGTTATTCTTATCTTCCTCTCGGTGTCACAACATCTTTAAGTTGGGTGAAGGTTTCACTTACTAAGGCGGTTGTAAAGATTTCACGTTAATTAAGAGGACTCCACTGCAAATCTGAATATGAATGAAGCTTGGCTGCTGAACCCCAGGGCAGTGAGTGCTGTGGGAACAGCAGACACTGACAAATGTTGATGTGAAAAGTAAAAAGCCAAACAAAAAAAAAACCCCAAACCCAGAAAAACACCTAAACCGATGCTACTAATCTTAGTACCTGTTCTGTGAGAGAGAAAAAATTGAGTTTGAGTTGCCAGAAGGGCATAAAATAGATTTTGACTTGAATTTGCAGTCAAAGAAGTGAAATTCAGTCGATCAGGAGCACTGATGAGGGCTCTCCATGCCTGGGTTTCAGCCACATCCCTCTGTTGCTCCCTCTCGTCCCCATAGGCAGGTGGGGCTTTGAAGGGTGGGGGGACCTCAGTGGAGGAAGGGAGAAGATCTGGGCTGGATCCTCAGCTCAGGTTCTTTGCTCTGGTGAAACCCCACCAAGCCCAGCCAGCCTCACCACCCACGGCAGGAGCAGGGGCAGTCCCAGGCTCTGGGGAATGAGGCTTCCAAGGATGGAGCTCCCTCGGTGAACAGCGGGACTGGAGATCGTTTTCCACAAAAAACCTGCATTTTGGGGAAGATTTTCATACCTGCCAGTGGCTGATAGCAGGGTGAGCAGCTGTCACTCCAGTACCTGTATTTTTTTCCAGCTCCATCGTAGAGTTGCTGTTGATGAACTGGGATGAATCCTCTCCTTCCTCTCTCCACTGGCTGGACATGACTAAGGTGCCTTTGCACAGCAATTCTGGGTGATGTGGAGGGTCCTGCAGAGGTGCTGAGCACCTCTCCACCTCCCACAGCAGGACTTTGGGGAAGGAAATGCTGATACACAACATTTTCACCTCCTGAAAATACACGGGACTTGGCTTTTGGAGTGGAAAAGTGACAAGCTGAGAGCCTAAATAAATTGGATTTGTCCTCTTAAGGAGGATGCAGGCAGCGTGTGAGGCTGTGTGGGGGTGTTTTATTGTTGTTATTTTTTATTCACGGTTCCCTGAGCTGATCCTGGGGATTGCACTGACTGTGGTTGTGTTTCTGGAAATGTGCAGGTTGGCCAGATGCAGTGGGGCATGGAGTGAACAGAAAGAGGTTAAATTGATGGATGACCAACAAGAGCAGGATTGTGCCTCAGAAGACCAAGAAACTATCCTGATTAATGGGGTGAAAGAAAATGGTAAGGAACTTAATTATGGTACATGAGGGAGCAGTGACAACTTGGAAGCCAACTTATTTTCCTAATTCCTTCTGTGCATTTAATATTAGCAGTTTGTGGGTGTCACTGCAAGGTGGAGCAGGGGAGTAAATGGGTGTTTTCTGCACAGGAATCGTTCCAGCCATAAATCTACACCTTTTTAGGCCTTAACAAGAACTGCTTTTACCTGTGCATGGGCGTGGCTGGAAATGTTTGTGTGCACATGCAGCTTGAATTAGAGATTTTAGTTTGGTTTCTTAGGGTAAAAAAGTCATCCAGGGCTTTGTAGCCCCTCTATCTATTGGGAATTTTCCCCTCTCTTAGCATTATGATCCCATTAGCCAATATTAGCAAAATTAGGCTGAAGGATCCTTAGTCCCTACAAACTGAGACAAAGGTTGGGTAGGAGAAGGAAACCAGAATTAGTGGGAAGGGAAGGTTGGATTTGTGAGCTGGTTCTTGCCTGTGTCCCATCACCCAGCACGTGGGATTCCCTGTGCTGTAATCCCTTTTCTGCACAGACAGGTCGTGTTCCTGGGAGCCACCAACATGGGTGGGGAGGGAGCAGCCCCTTGCAGCAGCCTCCCAAAATTGTCTGTATCAATTTCATTGATTCTATATTTGCTTTCAGAATAACTAATTAGGAGTAGCAGTGCTCAGCTGTCTGAAACCCTGATTGAAATAAATAAGCCTCTGAGCATTTTCTGAGGTCATTTGGACTGTAATCTCTGGCCACAGTAAATGCAGAGGGGAGGCAGAGCCTGATGCTTTCATTCTTCAATGTGTTTTATGTTTAATTTCATGGCTTTTTACATTTTGTATTGGCCCATAAATCTTTAGATAGATAGATGGATTTTATTTATATATAAAATTTGATCCTGTTAGATATCAAGGACTTGGTCCTCTGACATATGTTCAGATCTTTCTGTCAGCTCTAAACAAGGTGGTAAGAGAACAAATGTTCTTGTTCTTTACCAAAACCTTGGAGCAGCTCCAGCCACGTGGGAGCCCACGAGGACCCCACAGCTCGTGCTGGTGGCAGGTGGGGACGTGCTCACACTTGGCCCTGGGATGTAACTGGGGAGGTATCTGTCCCTGCCAGCCCATCTCCTTCCTGCCTACACAGGGTGAAGCTGCAGCTGCTGGGGCTGCAAAGGGATTTTGTAGCCATGGTCCCTTTGTCTGGTCCAGTGGCCAACAAAACGAGTGCTGCCCTGATCAGCAAGGAGGGGATTTTTAGAACCTCATGCCACTTCCATGGAATTCAATTAAACAATGCTTAAAAAGTGCTTTAATTAGACATAAGGAGTGCTTCAGGTTAAAAGGGATCTTAAAGCCCATCCAGTGCCACCCCCTGCCACGGACAGGGACATTTCCCACTGTCCCAGGTTGCTCCAAGCTCCTTCCAACCTTGGACACTTCCAGGGGTCCAGGGGCAGCCTCAGCTTCTCTGGGCAGCCTGTGCCACCCTTAGAGCCAGGAATTCCTTCCCCAGTGCCCATGCCAGCCCCTCCTCTGTCAGTTTAAGCTTTCAGTGTGAACACTGGTGTGTGGGAGTGCTGCTGAATCCAAGGCCAGGAGCCAGCACGAAGCTCTGGAGCTGCCACCTCCCCTTGCCCATGTGCTGTTGGGTGGATGCTGAGTGAAACTGGGAAAAGTGGTTTTGCTTCCCCAGCGTTTTCTGTGTGAATGTATTCCCTTGGAGCATCAGCTGAACACGGGCCTGATTTTAGGCTGATACGGAGCCCCAGAAAATCAGGTTTTGGCATTTGTATTTCACAAGAGTTAAGTTCACTCACACAAGTATAAACCTAAAGAAACGCCCAGAGACAGTTTATTTTATATAATAGCAGCTTTGCCTATTGAATGCAGCTTTTGAGATTGAATTTCAGCTTTCTGCCTCCCCCTTCTTTGAGTCTTACAGCATTCACACACATTCTTCTTTTATCCTCAAATTTTCCATGCTTCCTGTCAGCTCCAAGCTGATTTTTATTTTATTTTACTTCTGAAGTGGAACTGCACTGGTTAATTTGTTTTGGTGCTTAAGGAAAAAGATACCACCTCTGCATTTCTGATCTGAAGACTGGTGGGAGGGACTCATAAATCAGCTTTTTTATTTATTTCCCTTCTTTTAGCCCTTTTCAAGCAAGCCAGTCTGGCCTTTTCTAAGTTGTTCATGTTGAAGATGATGACAGGGATTGCACTGTACTTCTGTTGGACTTAGGGAGTCTTTGGGAAAAGGTTTAAAGTCCTGGGAGCACTGCGAGGCTCCAGCTGCAGTTTGTGCTTTGTTCAGACTTCACTGGTGACTCCATCCCTAAGACCCCTGCAGCACAAAACTAATGGGAGTTTTGGGGATGAAATTATTGGGGTTTTGACCTCCTGCTTGGCACAGGCAGGCACCCCACTCCTTCCATGGCATCCTGGGGAGTTTTCCACACCTGAGGGGTTTTCCATCGTGCCAGCACAAACCTCCTCTGCCCAGGCTGCCAAGGGTGCAGGACACTCACTTTCCCCTCAGAAATCAGAGAATTCCTCTTTGGAATAAGAGCACTTGTGGAGGGTCACAACAGCCAAATAAATCCCTTTGCATGCCCCATTTGGTGCTCCAGTTGTGTTTTAAAGCACTTGTCCCTCCTTGGAAAGCTTTCACCCCTCTGCCTTCAGTGGAGCCACCAAAAAGGAGAGGCCTGAGCCATGACAAAAGCACGAGGCTCCAAGTCAGCAGAGCTCTCTGGCTGGGATGAATGCACTCATTGGAATATAGATATTTTTTTAATACAGAGATATCAGAGCGTGTTCATGGATGAAAAGACATTGTATTTAAATTTCAGGGGTCATACCGTCCGTTGAGCCAGGAGTCAGATAAAAGTACATTCATAACTTTATTCTGACATAAAAGAAGCGCAACGAGGTGAAACTAAAAAAAAAAAATCCTTAGGTTAAAAAAATCCTTACCTGACTAAAAAGGCATTTTTAGCGATTAGGGAAGAATGGCAAACCCCACAATAATTCTAACAATAATTGCTTTAAACTCTGTGTTATCTTCTGCCTTCCCTTGGCGTGGACAGTGACAAAAAGACCGCTGGGTTTTTAAAATCAGCCATCACTTCCTGACTCTGGAGCAGTAAAGCAGCTCAGGTGTGTGCAAGCTCAGACCCCGCAGGGGTGGGGGGTGCTTTGTTTCTTTAACAATCTTATTTTCCCGTTAATTTTTTTCAGTGTTAACGAGAACATTTTTATTAGGCTTGTTTTGGTTTGGTTTTTTTTTAATAACATTGTGAGGTTTGAGAGGCAGTTTCCAGGTAACCGTATGGATATGAGGAAGGAAGAGTGGATGGGGTTGGGTGTTTTAAACGTGCTCTTGTACCTTTTCCAGCTGGCTGCAGGGAGCAGCGTGTTTACCTCTGCCTTCCACGCACAGCACCGCGTCAAAAGGATCCAGGAGGGCAGGATTGCTGGGGAGGGATTGGGAAAAGTCACCACCAAGCCCTGGGGAGATGGGGAGTGGGGTTGGCAAGCCTGAGACCTACAAGGGTGGTGCTAACCTGACACAACAACCAGAGCTGCGCTCACTTTGCCGCTACGGTCCCGTGCCTGGAGTGGGTCACACTCTGGGAACAGGAGGCCTTAGATGTGGCCACAGCTATGGCTCCATGGCCTTTTTGGCTGTCAGATTGAAGGAGGCAAGGAGGAGGGGGTGGTCTGTTCCGTAGGATAAAAAGGATTTATTACTTTGGGGTATTCGTGGGGCAAAAGACAAAAATGGCGAAGATGCAACAACTTAAATATGGGGGAGGTTCAAGGGGAAGGTACAAATTCTTAGCAAATTGGAGAAAGTCTGAGGAGGGGTAAAAGGTAGGGTCCACAAAAGCATTGTCCAATGAGGGGGTAGGGGGGAAAGCTGAGTCACATGGACTAATGAAACCTGGAGTTCTGGGGGATTTCCAAAGGGGAATTCCAAGCAGGGGGCTGGCACAAAGCAGGATTGACAGGGAATTCGGGATAGATTGACAAGGTGGGTATGATGCCTAGAGGAGCTGGAACAGAGGCTACACAGAGTTAAGGGAATAAAATAGATATTTATTGAGAGGCCTTCAAAGGCCACAGCCTGGCAGTACAAGTCCCTCTGCCTGGATGACTCCAAGATGGAAGCCAAAGAGAGCTTGGTCATGAGATCTCACACCTTTATAGCTTTCAGTCCATTTGCATGCAGGAGTCACTTGTCCAATTAATAGCCTCAAATCGTGACTTTTCATCCTCCTTGCTTGCCTGCTTGCCCACCCTCCTCTTTTCACGTTGTTTATGCTTAGAGCCTGAAGTTTGAAGCAGTTGTCCTTGAGTCCTTAGCTGGACTAGGACTGTTTTGTCTTCGCCACTCAAGCACAACAGCAAAGCACACCCAAGCAGAACAGAAAAACCTAAAACTTAAGGCATCAGGTGGGAGGCTATAGTTTTGGACTAAACCATGAGCTTGGGCAGTAACAGAACATTCCACTACCAAGAAACACGCTGCACCAGTAACCCCTGTCTGACGTTCTTGCTGTGCTCCCTCCCCAGAGTCGCACGCCCTGGACGGCGATGAGAGGCCCTGCAGCGCCGCCGAGGCAGCGGCGCCGTTCCCGGCGCTGAGCGCGGCTCCCAAGGAGGCTCCCCACGGCCACCGCGCCCCCGCGGCCAAGAAGCCCTGCCTGCTGAGCCCCCCGTCGCCGCTGCGCCTCACCGATGTCCCCGAGCACGCCTCGGACGACTCCTCGGCCCACGCCATCTCCCTCACGTCCTGCGTGACCAAGGGCATGAGCTCCTGGTCGCTGCCGGGCGACTGCGAGAAGGCTCCGTTCACCATGATGGAGCCCGGGGGGATGTCGGCGCTGACGGGAGACTGCCTGATGCAGCCCAGCCGGACCTGTCTGGGCTGCTTTATTGAATCCAAGGACGGCATTGATGCGGAGCCGGGAATAAGCTTGAAAGTGGGGGATATAAATAGGGATTATGACACCTGTTCGGTCTCTGATATAGGGATTCACTGCATGAGCACAGGAGAAACCATGAGATATGGGGATCAACTGCTTTCAGACCAGCTTTTAAGCTTCCCTATGCATAAATCGAGGGCAGCGGACAAAAGAGATGCAGAAAAATCTGACAGTGATTCAGAGGACCCCACTCAGAAAAATTATTACGAGGGATTACTATTAGACAAATGCAATGGTGAGGAACCTTTACTAACAAATCCCAACCAGGAATGGGGCTATTTTGAATCTTTCATTAGTGAAAGTAAAATCGAGCTGCTTGACCTCTGCTCCAAAAATGAGCTTTCTGTAAATCTGTTTTCTGAGGAAGACGTGGACAATTACATGTTCGACGATGACGATTCCACCTTGGGAAGTGATGTCTGCTCCCTAAAGATTAGATACGAATCTTTCCAGGACAATGTGCGGGAGAAGACCACCACCCTACAAGAGGACGCCCAGTTCAACTTCTTCCCCAGCGTGTTCAGCAACTGCACCAAAAGGGACAGCAGGAGCACCCTGAAAAGGGGGCCCAGCGGTGCCACCGACCCTTCTCAATTCAAATCCGAGGAAGGCATCATCTGGGGGGAGGAGGAGGAGGACGGCGAGGAAGAGGACGGTGAGGAGGAGGAGAAAGCTGCCTTAAATAAATCTTGCAACAGCACAGAGATGGTGCAGTACGTGAGCTCCAAGAGGAGCCACTTCTTGGACTCGGTGAATTCCACGGAGGACTCCGGGGAGTTCAGCGACGACAGCACTTGCACGGAGTCCTCCTACGACGTGCTGCGGGATATCAAGGACTGCAGCCGGTACCTGGCCCGGGACCACTCCGGCTCCTTCATCCAGCAGAACTACGGGTTGCGGGCCAAGAGGAAAGTGCGATACAGCGACGACTACCTGTACGACGTGGACTCCATCGAGAACGAGAAGATCCTGGACAAGAAGGAGTGGCTCCCGGACGGGCCCAAGGAGGAGGACGACGACGAGTGGTGCCCCAAGAAACGGCGAAAAGTCTCTCGCAAGGAGCCCCCCGTGATCATCAAGTACATCATCATTAACAGGTTTAAAGGGGAGAAGCATATGCTGGTGAAGCTCAGCAAAGTGGATGCCAACGAGACAACTGTTACTCTGAACGAGGAGCTGCTCAGCAAATACAAGAAGCTGGCCCCACTGAAGGGCTTCTGGCAGGAGAGGCAGCAGAGCCGGCTGGATTTGCTCAGATCGTCTCTCTACCACAAGCAGAATTTCTATCTTAACGGCTCAGATGCTTCGTTCCTCCCTCACCCACGGAAGCGAAAATGCAAGCTAGCAAACAGGCACCGGATTCAAAGAATTAAAGCCATCGAGCAATCAGTGAACAAGCTGGGCTCTTGCTCCTCTGATCACAAGCAGCCTTGCAGCAGTAAGGAGGACGTGGGCCTGAAAGGGCTGCCGGCGTTAGCCATCGCCACCCCCGGCTGTGCCAACGGATTGCACGTCCACGACATTGCGGGCATCGCCGTGAAATGCAAACCGCAGGAGCGGGAGCACAAGGGGACGGAGCGCAAAGTGCTCCGCAGAATCAAATTCAAAAGTGAAGCCAGGTTGAAGTGCAAGAAGATCAAAGCTGCCACCAGTACGGCAGAGGACTCCCCAGCACTGGAAAACCAGGACTCTGCAGCGCGTCTGAAGGACGAAAACAGTCCCTGTGCTTCAGACAGCTCCCATCTCCCAGAGTGCCACGAGGATAAGGTTGCTAAAAATTCTCCTTTCCTACCATCCACCTCCTCTTCAGACAAGCCTCTGCCATCTGCTAATATCACCACCAATGTACCCCTGATCCCCGGAGGGTATCTGCAGACGTTGTTAGATGCTTCGGATCTGTCGAGCAACACCGCTATCCCGTACTTCCCCCAGCACCCCTCCGAGCAGCAGCAGCAGCAGCAGCAGCAGCAGCAGCAGCAGCAGCAGCAGCAGCAGCAGCACCCTCTCCCCAGCATCGTCCCGCCGGAAAAGCCCTTCCCGTCCCTGCAGCCGGCGCAGAGCTGCGTGCTCTCCCCGCCCTCCGAGTCGGAGCTGCAGCAGTCGCCCGGCCACTTGGAGATGGAGCAGGGCGGCTTCGGCAGCATGTGGCCGGCCAGCAAGGGCAGCGAGCGCCAGGACTTCCCCGGGGACCTGCCGGAGGCGGCCGGAATGCCGAGCGAGTTTGGCCCGGGCACGGACGGCCTCCCCGCCTCTGGATACGCTCAAGTCAATCTGAATAGCGGCAAATTGCTATACCAAAAAAATTACATGCCGGATAGCCAACAAGTGCAGTCTGATGATTCTTATCAGTCATGTCATTTCAATAATGGAGAGGGGCGCTTTCATTTCCAACGAGGTACACTCAGTACGGATGATGGCAGGCTCATTAGTTTTGATTCAGTGGGTTCATTGTCAGTTAGTTCTAGCAATTACAGTTCTTTAAGTTTAAAGTCGTGTGAAAAGGACGGCGAGGATGATATTAATGATGATTTCTTGGCCCACTGCAGTCCCAAGCTAGTGATCCAGCAGAGCATAGATGAAATCACCCCTTTGAAGGAGTCCACGGACCTTTTAGACATTTCCAACTTCACACCCGATAGGTTCCGCCAGTCGTCGCTTTCGGAGATGTCCCCTCCAGACACTCCCAACCTGTCCCCGCAGATAGCTGGCTCCGATGCCAAGCCTCTGGGCACCCTGAAGGGCTTTCAGGAGAGCCCCCAGGCCTCCCTCAACAGCTCCGAGAAGGTCAAGTGGAACTGTGGGGTCCTGCAGACCGAGGATCAGGCAGATAATGGGTTTGCTTTAAATAATCACCAGTTCCAGTTCCATATGTTCAACGATGAAGATTCTGTCAGCCTTCTCGAAAAGAGTCCATGCTTGTCAACATTTAATGAGCCATCTGGTCAAATTAGCACCAATAGCAAAGTGTCAAAATCGAAGAGGAAAAGTTCATCCAGCAAGAATGTGGGTACAAACCAAAGCTCTTCCCAGAAAGCCACCCGGAAAAAATCGCCCAAAACCAACAAAGGAACCGATAAGCCGCAAGGGAAAAACTCCAGGCAGGCGCCCAAATCCACCAGGAAAGGGAAAAACGCAGCAGGAGTCAACGGCGAGAAGGCGCCGGCCGTGGGTGGCAGGGCGGTCACTCAGCTGGGCACCGTGGCCACGGCCACCAAGGGCGTGGCCGAGGGCGCTCAGCACTGCGGCCCGGCAGGGGTGAAGCTGGGCAAGCACAACGGGCTCTCCGGAGAGTGGGCACTGGGAAAAGAGGGGGGCACGGGCTGGTCGGAAGCCAGCCTGGGCAGCGCCACCAGCCTCCTGGACGACGACCAGAGGGAGTTCGAGGAACCTTCCAACATCCTGTCCAACATCGCCTCGGGCATGGCCGATGTCCAGAGGTTTATGATGGCCTCCATCGAGCCCTTGTGGGGGCCCGTCGGCCACAACAGCGTTCCAGACATATTCCGGTCGCCGGAGTCCAACAGCCTGAAACTGAAAACTCTTAAAATTTTGGCAGGGACGTCCCAAGAGTCGAAGAAGAAGGCGAACGGTGGCTCGCCGGGGGCGGCGAAGAACCACAAGTCGAACAACAAGGGCTCGAGCAAAAACAGCAAAGGCGTGAGCTGCGACCCCGGTCGCCCCAACTGCTCCACCGGGTTCACCACGGACATTCACGCTCCCTTTTTTGATAAAAACTATAGTAACCTGAGCACTTTAGGCAATAATGGACCTACCCATAAAAAACTCTACCGTCATAAATCCAGTTCGAAATCACTGAGGGATGAGAACTGTAAAATCAAGCGGACGGACCGTGAACAGCCCCACAAGGACCCACCCGTGACAGCTGCTTTTGAGAAACTGAGGTAATGCTGCACCAAACTGGCTGGAATGCCCCTAACCTCCCTCCCACCTGCTAGGCCCGCTGTTCCTCAGTTTTTCCTTCCTGAAAGCAAAAGTTTGCATGAAAAAAAAAAAAAGGAAAAAAAAAAAAAAAGACATTCCCCTTTTACAGTTTTGGTTGGTTTTGGTTTTGGGGTTGGTTTTTTTTTTTTTTTTTTTGGTTGGTTGGTTTTTTTAATTATTATTTTTAAATGCATGAAATACTTATGACTTGCAAGCTACCTAAAAGAATGACCAATTTTCTGGCTTGGCTGGGGTTAAAAAAACTAACAAGGCTACTCTTTTCTGCTGTTTGGCTTCTTCAGTTTTTAATTACTTATTTATTGGGGGAAAAACAAAAACTAAAAAAAAAAAAAAACAAACAACACAAAACCATGATTACATGCTCTTTTTAATGATTTTGACGAGGAAAGACTTTTTTTTTTTTTTTTTGGAACGTTTTGTAAAAAATAAACCACAAAAAAAAAAAAAAAAGAGGTTCTGCATCCAAAAGCCAAGATCTCAAAACTTAAAGGCTCTTTACTTTGCAAATGAGAACTCGTTCCTAATTGAGCTTCACGTGGCAATTTTTGAGTGCTTTCTGGCCCCCTCTGCTGTTGTGTCTCCTAACCTGCATCATCTAAAGCTGCATCTTCTCTACCCGCCCGCCTTTAGCGCGTTCGCTCCGTCGTGGTGACTCCAGACGAGCTAACTAAGATGGCATCAAATGTTTGATTTTTTCCTGCAGGGAATCAGACTCCATTCTTCTTAAAGCAGAAACAGCATTTTTGGGTTTTCCTGTATTTGAAGAAGAGACTCCCTTTTCTAGAAAGACGGTTGATGTTTGGTTCTTTTCTTACCGTTTTTTTTTTTCCCGGTTGTTTTTAAATTTTTTTTCCCCCCATCGGTTCCTTTTTGAAATCTGCCTTGTGGTCTGTTGAAATGTAAGTGCTGAAATGAAGAGTTTGAAATTGTGGGAATTTTATTATTTGAAAGCAAACCTAATCTGGTATTCTCTGTGAAAGACTGTTTTAAAAGTCATACTGTTGTACAGTAGTTTATGCACTATTACCCACAACAACAAAAAAATTGTGCCAAACTATGAACAAGTGACTGTATTGTATATATTTTTACTTCTCTATCAACATTGGGTTGTGAGTGTTTTCTGCAGCTATGCCTTTTGGTTTTACTAGAAACATTCCAGTTGTTAAGTACTAACCACCCCCCTTCGAAAGCACCTGTAACTCACGATGAAAAACGATATTGTTCACTGATACAACTTACCAAAAGTTTTATGGACATGACTAAAAGTGTGCCAAATTTACTTACCTCATTTCATGGATTCACCCTGTGGTTTAAAGCTCATAAAGGGAAAAAAAAAAAAAAAAAAAAAAAAAAAAAAAAAAAAAAAAAAAAAAAAAAAAAAAAAAGGGGGAAAAAAAAAAAAAAGAAAAAAGGAACTTTGAAACCGATGCTGGGAAATGGTAATGTCCTCTCTTTGAAACCATGAGCAGAAAAACTTAATGGTGAAATGTTGAGTTTCATTATAGGAGAGCGTTGCAATGGTGGAGGAGTTCAGAAAACCACTGACGGTAAGTTTGCCAGGAACTCAAGTGTCTGCATCTAGAGACTACAGAACAGCTGCTTTTCAAGTGTCTGTTTTCTTAAAGCAAAACCTGTAGCTGAAGATCATTTGAAATGCAAAGTTACATTGCTAATTCTTTGTATCTCAGTTTTATATATTTTATAAGAACCTGGGATAAATTCTGGAATAGGTATAAAAACAGAACTAATACATTTCATACATTGAGTGCTATTTACCTTTCCTTTGAATAGTTTCTTAAACATTTTCGATGCAGAGCCTGTCAGAAGCGCTCTCCCATCATAGCTTTGGTGTTTCCTCCATGTCTAACCTTGCGATGCCAATATAGTTTGAACTTTCAAAAGCAGAGTCATTCATTTCAAATACAACTCCGAACCTTTTCTTTGATTCAGTTCATGAAACAAATACAACCAACGGAGCTATTTGTGATCTCACCGATCAGGGCCGGATCATGACTGGACTTTTTATTAAGACAGCGTTAAGTATTGAATGCTAAATGTATTCTCAAAAGGCCTTATTTGTAACCCTCCTCACCACACCCTCGCCCTCCACGAGAATGACAAACCCAACAAAGATCTATTTTCCTTGTGCAACTGAGAGCCTGTGCGTTTTGCTGCTGATTTCTCATGAAAAACCTTGATATGCAAGAGCCCTGGGAGCGATTGGGAGCAGAGGGATGCGAGGCTTGGACACCTTATGCAATAGCAGGCGGTGAGGAAGAGGAGCCTTTCTAGCAGTGGGCTGATCACATTGCTGATGGTGTCACACAGAGGGCAGGACTGCACTCAGGTTTCCTCCCGAGTCAGTTTTTTTCCACCCACACGCCAGGCAAAGCAGCAGAATTGGTTTAAGTTAATTTAGCAGAAAAGCAGAGCGATCACTAAAAATCAAAGTGGAGATGCAGAGTGTTAGTTTAGAATTGTGTTTTCACCTCTTACAGATCTTGGGGTGCAGCTTAGCTCGGCTCTGCCATCCCAGAGAGAACAGCTCAGCAGTTGCATTGTGTTTTATCTAACAGATGAAAGGACGAACTCTGAAAAAAAAAAAAAAAAAAAAAGAGTAATTATAAAAAGCATCCTGTAAGTTCATTTTTTCATGGAATAAATGCTGGCGTTGCCCGGAGTGAGTTGCTCTGGATGAGAGTGGTCCCCGGTGCCCCTGGCAGCGTCCCACCCCAGCTCTGGCTCCAGAAGGGAGATCCAGAAGATGCTCAGGATTTACTCTGGAGGCAAGAGCTGTGGTAGGGCTCCATCCCTGGGCTCTGGGCTGGCCTGCAGCCACCACGCTCTCCCCGCTTCCCCAGCAGCTCTCTTTTCTATTCATAGGCTCATCAGCTACTACGAGCTCCAGCCACTGCTGTGGTGTTGGCACATCCCAGTTTTTCAGCATTCCCCCCACGTGCTGCAGGAGATGGGGCTGGCAGCTCCCTTCTCTTGGATGTTCTGGCTGCTTCTCTTACAGAGACAGGTCAGGCCCAGGGCTGGGATGTGGCCAGACCTTCTTTCTGACCCAGAACCATCATTTGAAAGCACATTTCACCTGGCCTGCACTGTGCTCCTTATGCTTCATGTTATGAATATGGGACTCACAATACAACCCCTTGTACTGGATGGGATAGCAATACTTATTGCATTTGAGGAATGTGCAATAGGGCATGAAGATCAGGCATAAAACATATCGACTGTTTTATCCATGAATACCCAGGTGGGTGTTTCAGAACGGTGTTAATCACAAATTCCAGCTGCCTTGTTGCTCTCCTTCAGGCCTTCTACCATTCCAGATGCTGACAGCTTTGGTGGTCATCCCGTGTCCTCCAAAAATCTCTGACTGGGCAGATGTTAAAGAGCCTGGGTCCCTCGTGGTGTGGCACTGGCCCTTCCCTGTGTCTGAAAAAGTCATCACTCTGCTGCTTGACCCCAAAATTCAGAAATTGCCTTGAGCCAACCATTTGCCCTCCACCCTTTGGAACTTTATCGAGTATTTGGGTGGGAAAGGGCCTTTGAAGGCCATCTAGTCCCACTCCCCTTCAAAAAGCAGGGACATCTTTGCTAGCCCAGGTTGCTCAGAGCCCTGTCTGACCTGACCTTGAATGTTTCCAGGGATGGGACAGCCACCACTTCTCTGGGCAACCTGTGCCAGCGTTTCACCACCCTCATAAAAAATGTCTTTCTCAAGTCCTTCTCGGCAGGGCTGCTCTAAATCCCTTCATTCCCCAGCCTGTGGATCCCAGGGATTGCCCCATCCCAGGTGCAGCACATCTCATTTGGCCTTGTTTGAACTTTGAGCCTCCCCTGAGCCCACTTTTCGAGCTCATCCATGTCCCTCTGGGTGTCACTCTGTCCCTCAGGTGTGTTAACTCGGTTTGGTGTCATCTGCAAACCTGCTGAGGGGGCTTGATCCCAGTGTCTGCAGCATTGGTGAGGATTCTCCACAGTGCTGGTCCCAGTGCAGACCCCTGAGGGACAGCACTGGCCACTGATGTCCTCCTGGGCAGTGAGCTGTTGACCACTACCCTCTGGAGGTGACTGTCCAACCAATTCCTCATCTACTGAACATCCATCCTTCAAATCTGTCTCTCTTCAGTTTAGAAAGGTGGTGTGGGGAACAGTGTCAAAGGCTTTACAGAAGTCCAGACAAATGACACCTGGAGCTCTCCCCTTGTCCATGGATGCAGTCACTCCATCCTGGAAGGCCACTGGGCTGGCCAGGCAGGACTTGTCCTTGGTGAAGCTGTGCTGGCTGTCCTGAGTCACCTCCCTGTCCTCCCTGAGCCCCAGCAGAGTTTCTAGGAGGGTCTGGTCCATGCTGTTCCCAGGCACAGAGGGCAGCTGACAGGGCAGTGGGTCAATGTTTTAGTTTTCCCACCTGACTGCCAGGACTTTTCAGATACTGTGGAGAGTGACTTGGAAACTCCATCAGCCAGTTTTCTCTGGGCTCTGGGATGCATCTCATCAGGTCCATAGTCTTAGGTATGTTCAGGTTCCTTAGGTGGTCACAAACTTGATTTTGTCTTACAGTGGGAGGGACTTTGCTCCTCCAATTCCTGTCCTGTGGTTCCACCCCTCAAGGGAGATGGAAAGAAAGGTTGTCTCAACCTTTTGAGCTGTTGTTACCTGTCTGCCACTTGTGTCACACCTGCTTTGACCCTTCCTTTCCATGCTGACACCCCTGTAGAGGCCTTTGTTATTCTTTATGTGTCTTGCCACGTTCAGCTCCATCTGCACCTTGGTCTTCCTCACCCCATCCCTGAACAAGCTGACAGTATCCCAGTACTGTTCCCAGGATACCTGTCCCTGCTCCTGCTGCCTGTGCATCTCCTCTTGCCCTTCAGCCTGACCAGCAGGTCCCAACTCAGCCATGCCAATCTCTTGCCTTCCTTGCCTGATTTCTTACACCTGGGGATTGAGAGCTCTTGCTCTCCATGAAAAGCATCCTGAAAGATCTGCCAGCTCTGTTCTGCCCCCTTGTCCCCGAGGGCAGTTTCCCAGGGAATCCTATTGATCAACTCCTTGGAGAGCTGGCACTTTCTTTCCTTTCCTAGGATCCATCTCCACCTGCCTAGCACTACCTCAAGGTTTTCACTTCCCACCTTTGCCTCATCCCTCAGCACACAAGCTCTTATTCTCCATTTGCATTTTTGTTTTTCATGGCACTGCTCACAGCTGTGGGAGGACTGGGATGTGGATCCCACCCATCCCTGCCCACCACCCACACCCCAAACCCCTGTTGTGCTGGCTCCCACCTCAGCCCATCCTCTTGGCCAGTCCCGTGGGCTCCAGGAGCTCGTTTGGCTCTTGGGAGTGATGAATCCAAGCCACACAAAAGATGTTTATTCAGCAGCATCCCTTAAAATGTCTTCTCTGCTTCATCTCTTTTCACTCCTACTCTGGTGCAGGATGGGAGGACAATGCCAGCAGTGCTGCTGAGCCATGGTGTCACTTAGAATTGTCACTGGCCTTAGAAAGCAGGGACTGGCCTCTTCCAAAGGTCATAAAATCCATCTAAGAGGAGAGCTGCACAGGGCAAGGTGGTACTCACTGCTCTGCCACAGGAACAGGAGAGATGTCCTGTGGAAAAGAATCCTGCAGCAACCCAGCAGGAGCCAACCCAGCCCACGGCCATAGATTGCATTTACAGGTTTTGTAAATAGAAAAATATCAGTGATGGGGATCCAGTAAAAACCTTTTGGGGTTTTATTATGAAATAAATCTTACCAGGTTTACATCTTGCTTTTCTTTTTTTCTTTTCTTTTTTGAGCATAGGAGGCTGGATGGTTTTGAAAAACATCTTGAGAATAATGACTTGTGGACCAGAGGTAGCCAGGCATTTTGGGAGGAGGATGAGGAGGAAGAGGAAGGCAGGGGCAGCCACGGGGCTGTGCTTGCCATGCTGTGCTGTCCTGGTGAGGCTGGATTGGCTTGGAGAGGAGAAGCCAAGGCTGGCTGGTGATTGCTTGGAGAAACCATTGCTGCACCATTTGCTCTTTTAAAAAATCAGGATCACTGTTCATTTTTTTTGGCATTATGGCCCAAACTAGCCAGGAACCAAAATAAAGATGTTGAAAGCATTGTCATCCTTCAGCTGCTGGACCATGTTCTTTCCCTAAGCTCCCAATCTAGCAAAGCACTTAGGTGGGAGCTCGCTCCTGGGAGCTCCTGTGCCCTAAGTGCTTTCCCAGCCAGTGATATCAAGTCCCAAGAAAAACTCCCTTGTTTTTCAGTGTAAGTGGGAAGAGGATCAGGTGCATGGACTTGGGTTGGTGCAGGATCAGGCCCTCAGTCTTTACTTTCTCAACTTGTTGTGTTGGACTTTGCCTGTGCAGCTCCCAGGGGGTCCAGTGGAGTTTGCATGGTTCAAACCACTGACATCTATTGGAGAATGTGCCTCTTTATCTCTTCAGCATGTGAAATAATGCAAAAAAAGAAAAAAAAAAGAAAAAAAAAGAGAAAAATGTATAAAATAAACCAAGTACAATGTCTGTGGTAGAAGCAAGGCTTTTCAAATCTGTTTCTCAGGTAAACAAGTGACACTAATGACAGTGGAGTAACAGCCATCTAAGGGAATTGGGATCTGAAGCAGGAGGATTCCCTCCATCTCGCAGGACGCTTGGGTTGCCAGACACGTTTACTGAGCCTTTAAACACTTGGTGCAAAAGGAAACGAGAAATAAAATTGGTCTTTTCACTACCCTTCGCTAGCTAGACAGACAGACAGACAGACAGACGTCCATTTCTAAAGCACAAAGGGAAGACTTAAACCTAGACTAAAACCACACAAGTAACCACAAAACCAAGGTACCAGTGAAACTCCTTTTGTCTCTTTACTCCCGGTGGGAAGCAGGGTAGAAATCCAAGGAGCTGCTCTGTTCCGCTGCCCCGGCGCCGCCGGGCGCTTCGACTGCTGCCTCCAGAGATGTGAATGTACTGCTCCTTGAGTTCCCTTCCATAGAACTAGAGGCACCTCGTTAGGAAGTTGCTCCTGTTTTATGGTGCTAAAGAAAACTTTTATTCCCTCCCCCCCCCCTTGAGCATTTAAGAACTATTAAATGGCCCTTTTTATGAATGTAACATATCCATTTCTGTTCCACATTTTACACTGCAATTTTAACATGTTTGGAAATGATTTGCCTTTTTTCTTTTAGAATAAGCTTTATAAATATTCTGTAGAGTCAATTGAAGTATAATTCTTAAGGATCACTCTAAGACGCCTACAAAATCTTGTATATTTTTAAGTGTGCCAATTTGTAAAATATTTTGTAAGTGTATATTTTTCTTAGAAAAGTGCTGTGAAGTGTTTGTATGTGTGAGGTTTCCCTTTTTTTGCACCTTCGGGTGTTAATAAAAGGATGTATACTTAAGAGTTTCTGGTTTTAAAAACCAAAATACAAAGAAAAAAATTAAACTTTTGTTGGGAATTTTGTAATAAAAAGAAATGTTGTGAAAGAGTGTAGTGATATTGTGTAAAGGAAACTGGAAAATTTGTGAGCGCTTTGCTGTTTTATAGATCCTCTTGTAAATTATTCTTGTAATATTTTGGGTTTTGTTGTTCTTGTTGCAAAGGTTTTAAA